TGTATTTTGTCCTTCATTACGCCACTAAAATTGTGCAGCGAGTCTCAGCGTGCTGTCGGGCTCTCTACTCAAATCAAAAGTGACGCGCTCTAGCACATTCATGTCTACTAGAGATCATATTCTTCCCATACTCAGTATCGATAACAATCGTCGTCACACTTACCCAACACAACCCTGAGCCACACTCGATATCAGTATTTACTGACGTCACACCATTTTAGTGTTGCATTTACTCAACCTTATGACTATTGGCGCGTAATTTCAAAATACTGTACTCTATCCATTTATCTCCGACACGGCCAACCTGACAATCTACACGCCCACGTGTAGGAAACAGTTCTCTAAAAACTCATTTTAATAGTTCCAAACTTTATTAAAGCAATTAATATTCATTAAAAATCTTCAAAAGTATTTTGTCTCAATGCAAGCTTTCAATTCACATAACCGTTTCTTAACACAACATTCTCAATTCATTAACATTGTCATTTCAGTAAATTTCTTTTACATTCCAATTTCATTAACAATGCCTCTTCAGTAAATATCTTTTACATTTCAATTTCATTAACAATGCCTCTTCAGTAAATATCTTTTACATTTCAATTCTTGTTATTCAGTCCTTTCATGTCACTTTTACGTCTCAAGAATCCTAGGCAAAGTACCTCCACGTAGCCATCGACAATACTCCACGACATCTGACGGCATCTATCCTCCGTCTTTACAGTCTGTTGCCACTGTTTCCATACGGTCTGTTTCACCCGTTTCCATACGGTCTGTTTCACCCGTTTCCATACGGTCTGTTTCACCCGTTTCTTCAGATGAACTCATTTCATCTCCGTCGATATCCAGCTCACTTGGTACTTGCCCCTCAGGCATTCTTCGTAAGCTGTCATGAGAGTATTTGTACAGTCGTTTATCTGTTAAAGATCTCAGTTTATATCTGTCACCCTCTAAAACTTCTATGATTACAAAAGGTCCACGAAACTTTGGATCTAACTTTGTTTGTATACGTTCGTTGTTTTTAATTAAAACGTAATCTCCTATACCAAACTTCACAACTTTAGCTTTACCCTTATCAAATTTAACTTTGTCATACTGGACTGCTTTCTCTATATTCTTTATCGCTTGCTTTCGTATCTCTGCCACATTAACTTGAGGCTCCATATCATCAATAGGAACTAGTCCCAAGGGTCTGGCACTCTTCCCAACTAAGAGTTCTAATGGACTTGACTTGGTTATTCTGTTAATTGTACTATTTAGTGACAATTGCACTTCTCCCAGAACATCTTGCCATATTCGATCACTAGCCTCAGCGACAGTTAGCAAATTTTTCAAAGTACTCATCACTCTTTCGACCTGCCCGTTGGCCCTACTGGTTCCCGTGGCTATCAAATGCAGATGAATGTAAAACATCTACCTTGATCAGCTATTATTCGATTGGGTACTCCGAATATAGCAATTGAAGATTTTAATGCGTTGATACAGCTATTAGCGTCCAGCTTAAATGTGTGATACAGATACACATATTTCGTAAAACCATCAACTTGTACTATTATATACTCTTTGCGATCATTCTTGCCACTTAACCTCCCAGTAATGTCTACATGCAAAGTATGCCAGGGTATACTCACTTTAGGTATTGGGTGTAGTTCCGCTTGAACCTTCCCTGAAGTTGATTTTGTCACTCTACAAGTGATACAGTTCGCTACGAATTTTCGGACATACTTTGTCATCCCCTTAAACCAATAGTGCTCGTATACCTTATCCAAGGTCTTTTCCCACCCGAGATGGAATATTGATTCATGAACTTGATTTATTATCGACCACCGAAACGATCGCGGGATCACTGGTAAACTACGAGTCCTACCATTGCGTTGAATCTTCTTATACAAAACTTTAGCCCTAATTTCACACGTGAATGATAAATCATTCGAAAGCTCTCCATCAATTAATTTGCGAATTATACCTGAAATATCAGAGTCGCGTTGCTGTTCGGCTTGTATCCGACTTTCCGACACTGTCATAATTTCTACACGCTTTTCTAGGAATTTATTCTGTGACACTTCTTTCTTATTGGTCAAGGGATTCCTAGAGAGGAAGTCTACGTGGGCCATACGCTTCCCTTCCCGATACTGTATATCGAAGTTGAAAGATTGTAAAAATGCCCACCAACGATATACCCTTGGTGTTAATTCAATTTTCGTTCTAGACAATCCGTAAATAGGACAAATTTAATTCCAATCAAATAGTATCTAAAGTGCTTTACTGCCTTAACTACTGCTAAAGTTTCCAACTCAGGACGAATATTTAGATTCACATGTAGTAGTTGTCTTGCTAAAATACTCTATGACATATGGTTTATTTTCTATTCTATGTAAGAGTATCGCTCCATACCCGATTGAACTTGCATCAGTATGCAGTTCCACTGGGTATTTTGGGTCAAATATCATTAACACTGGTTTGTTAGTAAGAATCGTAACAATTTGTTTGCGAATTGATTCATGCTCCTTTTTCCAGCTAAAGCTAGTTTTATCACAAGTCAGTGCATAAAGGGGCTTCATTACCTGAGAGAAACCTGGCACGAATTGCCGAAAGTATGAAGCTAAGCCAATAAATTGTCTCAAACTTGTGATTGACGTGGGAGGTGGCAATTCACTCAATGCTTCAATTTTACGTAAATTAGGACGAATTTCACCTTCTCGTACTTCATATCCAAGATACTGAACCGAGTCTTTTAAAAATGAACATTTTTCACCATTAAATGAAAAGCCAGCATTAGACAGTACATTCAAAACCGTTTCTAATCTCTCAAAAGCATCTTTCTTCGTTGGGGCAACGATCATTATATCGTCCATGTAAACAATTACATAAGTATAGGCCAGGTCGCCGATCGCTTTCATTACCGCTCTCTGGAATACCGATGGTGCGTTCTTTAACCCAAACGGCATGGCCGTAAACTCGAACTGCCCATCAGGAGTGACAAATGCTGTGTATTCAATGGAATCTTTATGCAACTGCACCTGGTAGTATCCATATTTGATCGGATATTAGAGGAAGTGGAAACTTATCAGCCACTGTATTTTCATTCAATTCTCTATAATCAACACAGAGCCTGACTGAACCATTCTTCTTTTTTACTAAAAGTGCCGGGCTAGCAAAGGGCGAACTGCTAGGTCTGATTACATTATACTCTAACAGCTCTTGAACTTTAGCTCGAAGTAATTCTCGTTCGTTAGGACTAAATCGATAAGGTCGTCTTTGTACCGTCTTAGTTGGTTCAATTAAGCGAATAGTCATCTCTCCTGTATTTACACGAGGACAAGGCGTTCCCTGAATAAACTGTTTTCTATACTTTTCCAATAACTTAAGCAATTGGTTTTTCTCTTCTCCAATTAAATCTGTGCATACGTTTTCAAAATCATATTCATAGGCTTTTACAGAACAAATATTAACTGTTTTGTCTTTTACAAATTCGACACCTGCACATGATACTATAGCGATATACCCTTGAGCTAATATCTCGCGACCTAATACAATACTATTTTTCATACATGCATCCTCAATTACATGGAACACTATTTCAATACAATTTCCATTAATCATTACGTTACTTATTATCTGAATCGTACAAATAATAGTAGTGGTACCAATACCGCTTAGTGACACAACATTGTTTGTTCTTTTACCGGTCAACTTGTGTGATAGACACAATTTAACTAAAGAGCACTCGGAGCCCGAATCAAAAATAGTCTGATACTTCTCACCTCGATGTTGCATCATTGTTTTTGGCTCGTCGACGACACACACAACGACGCTCGCTCAGCTCGAAGGTCTTCTCTAGATGGCGATTGTTTCTTCACTCTGCACTCTGCCTTCTTATGTCCAAGTTTCCCGCATGAGTGACATTTAACTTGAAACATCTTGGGGCGTTTGTTCGAAGATTCCTCCTCCGTGAAGTTAAATCGCTTTCTTTCGAACGAAAACACCTGTAACGCCGACTGCAAATCCCTTCTGTTACTAATGTTTCCAGTGTAGGCAATGCGTCGCAACCTGTGGTCGTGATTTGCCAAATGACCAAGCACAACAGACGTAGCTATACCCTCAGTATCCATGTCTCGCCATTTAGTCAATAGAGATGTTATTTGTCGACTGGCATACACAGCAAGACACTCGCCGGCATTTGGACGACTATTCAGTAGATTTAGAATAGATGCCGCTGGCGTCTCCACACGTTGATACGTTTGCTCAAACAGTTGTCTGAACTGAGGCCAAGTAATGCCTGAATAACAAATCTGCGATAGCCACTGAGACGCGCTTCCATCCAAGCATTTTGTTAGCGCCAAAATTAATTCACTCCCAGACAAAGGTTTTTCGCTGAATAAGATGTCTACAGTAGCACACCACTGTCTTGCATCGGCGCCAGCAACATCAGAATTGAATTTCGGCAAGACAATGCCGCCATTTTGTAACGGTTGTTTAGACGACGCTTGCAAACTTTTTGCAAGTTCCAGAAAATTCTGATTTTGTTGCTCTAACAAAACACGAAATTGATCTTCAGCCACTGTTGGTCGAAAGTTTGATCCCACTTCTGATATCGGCGAGTCATTAAAATCCTCAGTTACAGTCGATTCGTCTTGTATTTTGTCCTTCATTACGCCACTAAAATTGTGCAGCGAGTCTCAGCGTACTGTCGGGTTCTCTACTCAAATCAAAAGTGACGTGCTCTAGCACATTCATGTCTACTAGAGATCATATTCTTCCCATACTCAGTATCGATAACAATCGTCGTCACACTTACCCAACACAACCCTGAGCCACACTCGATATCAGTATTTACTGACGTCACACCATTTTAGTGTTGCATTAACTCAATTTGGTCACGCTAGAACAGCACTGACCACACAACAGAACCTTATGACTATTGGCGCGTAATTTCAAAATACTGTACTCTATCCATTTATCTCCGACATATATATATATATATTATATATATTATTTCAATATCATGGTATCAAAACATTTGTGTGACTTCGACATTGTGTCTCTCTCTGTCTTAGCAGCATTTGTGTCGCTGCTACGTAAGCACTAATCACTGATAAATAGAAACATATATGTATATATTTCTAACAGCGTCTTTGAATGTTTAAATTTGTTGTCATTATTTCGCATTTTTCGGCACGTCGTAATAATTCGACATCCTAATGGGAGAGAGCCCCCTTCATTTGAGTCGGCACCAGCAATCCCTGCCGGCTGGAGAATCCATCCCGCAGGCACTTCACTGGACGAACGGGAGCTAGAAGGGCGGCGACTACCGCGCAGAACGACATTGGGTTGGGTTGCATTGCCGACGCCGAGGGGGATCGCGCGGCCAAGATGTGGAGGCGGCTGAAGAGCGCGAAGATGATCATTAGTTAGTGAGCGGTCGAGAACAGCGGGTGAGCATGCGCAACAACTTAAGAATGAGAATAAGTATTAATAAAAGAATTACGTTGAAAGTGTTTTATTAATTATTAACAACTAACAACATAGGCGATCCTTCCTGTGTGTTTTTATCAATTGCTAGTTGTCCCGGCGAACAGTCTCTATATATATAAAACAAAGTCGAGTTTGTTACAAAACTTATAATTCGAGATCTGCTGCACCAATATCAGTTACTTTTGCTCAAACAATATGCGTAATAATTCATCGAACTAACCTTCTTGGTAGTTTTCAGCAACAATTAGGATTGCCACATCATTGCCCACTAGGGGCGTGGAAAATCGGAAAATGCATTTTCCGATATACCAGAAATCATGTTAGTTAAAGAGCTAGAAAGCTGAAATTTGGTATGTAGGTCCGCGTCGACCACCCAAGATCACGAGCTATGGCCGATATATCTCCGCCCATTGGGGGCGTGGCAAATTGGATAAAATTGTATCTCTAAAAGTTTTTCAGTTATGGATCTATACAATGTTACAATGTTATGGATCTATAAAGTCAAAAGACAAAATTATAAGTCGTCTGGAAGAGGCTCTTGAGAGAGCTCTACAAGAATCAGCTGCCTTTTTATTCACATATTCTAAGTGCTCGCGGAAAGTTAATCTTGTGTCTAACATGACGCCAAGATACTTAATCGCCCTCTTTGACGCGATGGTGACGCTGCCTATCTTTATAATGCCAGTCTCCACTTTCTTGCGACTGCTTACTAGGACGACTTCCATCTTGTGCGCCGCAAGCTCGAGCCCAGCTCCTGTCAACCAGCTTCGTATGCGATTGATACTTTCGCTGCACATATCCTCTGTATCTTTAAGCTCCTTTCCTATGGCTACGACAGCTACATCATCAGCAAAGCCGATGGTGTGCGCACCTGCTGGTAGTTCCAAGCGTAGTACGCCGTCGTACATGATATTCCATAGGAGAGGCCCCAGCACTGAGCCTTGGGGCACTCCAGCTGACACTGTATGAGTTTGGGGACCCTTACTCGTATTGTACACCAGTGTTCTTCCTCTGAAGTAGCTGTTTATTATGTCTTTAAGATATTTAGGGATATTATATTGTGACAGCGCATTCAGTATCATATCCCAACTAGCTGTATTGAAGGCATTCTTTACGTCCAGGGTCGCAATAATGCAGTATTGCTTCGTCCCATGCTTCCATATTGTGCTATGGCTGGCGGAAGTAGCCAGACCAACAACTTTGTTTAGCGCATCCGTTGTTGACCGGGCCTTCCGGAATCCAAATTGATTTGGTGACAGGCCTCCGGCGCTAGTAATCGCAGTATCCAGTCTAGAGCAGATCAATTTCTCAAACACCTTTCCCATGGTGTCTAAGAGACAGATCGGTCTGTATGAAGATGGCTCATCTGGTGGTTTGCCAGCCTTGGGTAGCAACACCAGGTTCTGGGCTTTCCATTTTGCCGGGAACGTCTCTTGAATTAGACATTCGTTGAATAATTCGGCGAACGTGCTAGGGTGCAAGGCGAGGGCTAGCTTTAGCGCACGATTTGGGATCCCATCCGGCCCTGGAGCAGTGTTGGTTCTAAGACCCCGGAGAGTTACTATGATTTCTGCCTCTGTGACTAAAACAATTTCAGTGCTCGTCGAGCCCTGATCAGCAGACTCGGACCCGTTAATGGAGCTTAAACTTTCTGGAAAGAGTGTTTCCACAATCGATTTAAGCTCCAGACGATCCGTAGGCTGCACCTGTCTACCTGCGTATAGTCTTTTAACTACTATCTTATATGCCCTGCCCCAAGGGTCATATTCGGCTGAGTCGCACAACTCTAAAAAGCATTCTCTTTTGCTTGCCCGAATGGCCCTCTTCAGCTGTCTTCTAGCTGCCTGGTAAGCTAATTGTTTCTCAAAAAACGTAGACCTACCGCGAGCCCGTTGGTAGCTTCTTCTCGCCTGGATGCATTTGCGACGAATGTCACCTATTTGTGCATTCCACCAATATGTAGGCTCTTGTTGTCGCGTGAACTGCTTGCGGCGTAACATGCTGCTATTGCAGGCATTTAGCATGCTCTGGCCTCAGCCTTACCAATTGTGCCCAGAGACTGAATGGCCTCTGAAAAGACCGCGGGATCAAAAGTATCTAGCCGATACGACTCCCTCCACAAGGTTGGCGCCCTGGCAGGTGGCTCACCTATTGTGAATAGAAGTGCCGTATGATCGATGCCCGTATAGCTATCGCAATGGCTCCATGTTGCTCCCCGAAAGAGGGATGGGCGTGACAAAAATAATGTCGATAACAGATCCGACTGAAGGTGTACTCGTGGCCAGTGTTGAGCAGTGCAACATCTAGTGTCGCGAAGATCTCCAGTAGGATACGACCTCTGGCATTTGTTGTGAGGCTACCCCATTCTAACGCCTAGGAGTTAAAATCTCCAGCTATAATGGCCTTCCGACCCCTAGCATCCTTGGCAAGCTCGTCGAGCACCGTCGTGCGTTTGTGTGTGTATGCGTGTGTGTGTATGTGTGTGTGCGTGTTTCTTGTGTAAGCTGAAAGACGCGAAAAATTATTGAAATAGCTATTGCTCCAGGGGTTCAGGGGATCTCGTAGTCGAGCAGTCTCGACTATAGCTTTCTTACTTATTTTATGGATGGTCGATAGTTTCTTTGGGTATCCTGGATAAAAAAAAGCCATTTATAACAGATTGCCAAAGAATATTCGCAAAAAAAGAGGCGTACCCACGTGCTGAAGAATCGGTATTGCTCTGGGGGCTCGCATGTGTCAATAGCCTCTCCAATTTGATATTAATTAATGAAAAAATGAAGAGGGATAATTATTTACGTGTCCTGAATGACCACTCATCGAATTACGGTTACCGGCTCATTGGAAAATCATGTATACTCCAGCAGGACAATGCTCCATCCCACACGGTCCATATTATAATTGAATTTTCTGGGAATATTGAAGTCAATACATATGATTGGCCACCTCAGCGCTCTGATCTCAATATTATAGAGAATGTGTAGGCTTACGCAAAAGTAAAACGTAGCTTAGAGAGAGACGGATTGCTGAGGTTTGAGGACCTTAGCAGGATTTTTCAATAGAAACATTACAAAATTTGCTTAGATCGATCCATAGACGCTTGCAGATATTAAAGGAGGCTTTAATTCTTATTAATATTTTAGTTACTATGATCATTGTTAAGTTTTTGTCTCACTTTATTTAATAAATATTAATGTCAAAATACTTTTGTCCAGCCAAATAATGACAATTCGCCATGCAAATAATTATGGAAAAATAATGAGTCATGTTATCAATGCAATATTTTGGTCACTTAAAGCCTAGTATATTTGCTCTCTCTGAAAAATATAATGGGTACCGTTAGCTCTTTTAGCACGCTGAAATAAGCGGTTAAAATTTTTGCAATGCGTTGTCAAAATACTTTTGTCCTCCATTGTAGTGCAGATGCATGTGAAAAGTGCCGGTGCATGTGAAAAAAGTTATAGATTGACGATTAAGTATTGCACATATAGAATATCGGACAGCATGACGGTCAAAATCGTTTGTTCTTTCGAATCTATTCGTAAAATCTCAGTATCTTAAATGTACTCTATATAGAAACTTTAATTTTCCTTTATTTTCAGCTGGAATATCCGAAAAAGTAATATCTTACGTTGGAACCAATTTAATTTGCTTGCCCTCGTGCTTAGAACAACAAATAAGTTTTGTGGGGTAAGTAAAAATTTTTAGAAAATAAAATAAAACAAGAAGGTTGCAGCCGGGCGTTACCGACTGCGGAATACTCATTCACATCCCATCAACAATTTAGTAGTACAGTTTCGGTATAATACTGTAGAAAATACAGTTTTGTCCGATTTGCCACGCCCCTACTGGGCGTAGACACCTCTTTTTTTGGTCAGTTCTTAGAACGTGATAACGGTACCCTAACTGCAAAGTTTGAATGCTTACCCTCAAAAAAAGGGAAAATTACAGGGTATTTTGGGTCATCGATAGAGGACTTCTAGCTATTATACTTTAGGAGATATAAACTTTTGTGGTTTTCCACGCCTCCTGTGGGCGGACATATATCCGACAAAAATTGTTGGCCTTGGGTGATCAGCCCGAGTATATATACAAAATTTGAGGTCCCTGGCATCAATAGTGTCCAAAATATAGCAGAATTTAAAAAATCACTATATCTTCAGGTCTGATTTGCCACGCCCCTAATGGGCGAGACTTATAATTTTGTCTTTTGACTTTATAGATCCATAACATTGTAACATTGTATAGATCCATAACTGAAAAACTTTTAGAGATACAGTTTTATCCGATTTGCCACGCCCCCAATGGGCGTAGAAGTATCCCCCATAGCTTGTTGATCTTGATCACGTTAACCACGTGAATCTACATTCCAAACTTCAGCTCTAGCTATTAAATTAATACGATTATAATTCGACGGTTCAGACGAGTATATGTTTCATGTATCAAGTTTCTAGTCCAAGTGTCTTCAATAGCGCCGCAATAATTGCGTTCATAAGGATGGACGGACGACAATAGGGATATTGCACATTTCATTTTCGTAGATGAGTATAAAAATAACACTATTTTTAACAAATAAGTCTAAACAAGAGAACAACATTTTTTTCATATAGCTCGACTGAAGACCTAAATTCCGGAAAGGACTTTACCGTTGAAATTCAAATCGCCAGTCCACCTTCAGCAAGATTTTACCGTATAGTTACACAAACAAAATTAGACCTTATTGGTAAGAAGGTGTATGTATTTATTAATATCTATACACACATTTTCATTAAACTTTAAATGAAAAAATTCGCGTACTCATTAATCATACTGTCTAAAATCAACTTTCGACATTGATTTCATTTAACCTTCTGTCCAGGCATGAACATACAAATATATGAAGATCGTATACATGCCACGACGAGAAGGATAAAGGTAACGGTCTCATGTACGGACCCTATATTTATAGAGTAATACGAGCCTTTCCAACGTCAGGAATACAATATAGATGAGCGCTGAGCCTTACAAGCTCACCAAAAAGAAAGAATGTGTTATATACCAACGCAGAGTCGTTAATCTCAGCGATGATGCTATTAAAAATTGAATGAATGATGAGGCATACGCAGTAGGCTGTAGGCTTACTATGGAAATTTAATTATTTCATAAATTTTCTTGTCGATGAAACTTAGATTATGATTATAACATAGATATGAATGCATTTGCCAAAGCACAAGTCTAGTATTTGAAATTCGTATTTTACAAACTTAAAGGTGAATGGGTGGATATAGTGGTAAAATTCAACAAAAATCGAAATTGTATAAAATGCATCCTAATATATATTTAAAATTTTGGCACTCTGGCTTTAAATATGTAGGAGATATAATTTTATAGCTGATTTTAAATAAGGCATTTCATCGATTATAAAATACCGGGATGTGTTATCGATTTTTAGAGATAAACTCGATATGAGCGTTATATATACACATTTGAAAAAATTCAAGTCCTTAGCTCTTATATCTTCTGAGATCGAAGCGCTCAAACATACGGACAGACGGACGGACAGGCAGACGGACAGAGCTAAATCGACTCAGCTCGTCGCCCTGATCAAGAATATATGTATATACTTTGTGGGGTCTGCCACGCCTCCTTCTGTCCGTGTATATCACGCGCATATCAAGTTTTTATTTTTATATCGATAACTAGTCCCGATATTTTATTATCGGTTAAAAACTTTATCGAAAGCTAGTTATTTAATTAAATCTCCTACACCTTTAGAGCTAGAGCTTCCAAATTTTAAATGTAGACTTATATGTATTTTATATAATTTCGATTTTTGTTGTAATTTGCCCCCCGCCCCTATATCCACCCCCTCACCTTCACCTTTGTAAAAGGTGTATTTCAAGTACTAGAGATTTGTGCTTTGGAATGTACATACATTTTCACCATATGATTAAGTTCTGAAAGTTTTAAGATTGTACGTCTAGAAATTAAATTATTCAACAAATAAATTCGTATAATGTTGCCAACACTGCAGCTCAGCCCAAGCGCAGTCGCTGCTTACTGCGCACTTAGCAGAGCGCGTTCTAATATGTGCGTGTGTATGTATGTGTGCTGAAAAGAAGTGCAGAGTGATTAGAATATCAGATTTGAGTGTTCAGGGTATCTCCTAGTCGAGCAGTCTCGACTAGAGTCTTCTTACTTGTTTGTGTTTGTTTTTACTGCAATTTTTGGTCGGTTTTCGAAATGCACCGTTAGTTTTTTCATATTGCTTTGTAGTAGACTGAAAATGTGGCACTTCAAAGTATTGATTCAATGTGCAAACATGCCACCGCAAAAAAAGAATTTTACTATTAATAAATATATCGATGCAAGTGATGACGATTACATTAAATGCAAAAAATGCGAAAGACTTTTAAAAAAAGATCGCGTTTTTAATTTAAAAAAACATTTATTGTTGCACGAAATTGAAATCGATGATAAAGGAAGTGAGATTAGTGATTCTGTTGCCACTTCAAAAAATGTGAAACATCAACTAGTATCATATATTGGTCTTGCAAGTGAAGAAAGCGTTCCATTCCATGTGCTTAATTCAATTAATATGCGCAATATAATTGACCCCATATGTCAAAGGCTTGAAACAAAGCATGGAATAAATTTTAAGTTGAATGGAAGCAAATGCAAGTCTGTTCTTAAACACGTAGCAGCGAATGCTAGACTTGAAATAAAACAAGACAGTAAAAATCGCTTATTATCTTTAAAAATTGATAGTGCAACGCGGCTTGGGCGAAATATTTTTGGCATCAGTGCACAATTCATAAGCAAAAATGAAATAAAATCACAAATTCTTGGCATGGTGGAACTTAAAGGACCTGACTCCAGCAAATCTAAAAATCTTGCTAAGGAAATTATTTCTGTTTTAGAAAAGTACGAAATATCTCTGAGCCAAATCGTATCAATAACATCGGATAATGGGGCCAATATGTTAAAAACTTCAAAAATTTTGTCACAAATGAACACAAGCGATGAAGATTTGGACAAAACTTTTATTGAGCAAAAGAATATTGAGTACGCAAGACAAATTGATAATTTTGAAAAAACCGAAAACATGTTTGTGGCTGATATACAAATATGCCGATGTGCAGCCCACACTGCACAGATTTGTGTACTTGATGTTACCAAACACACAGTTATAACAAGTAAGAAGACTCTAGTCGAGACTGCTCGACTAGGAGATACCCTGAACCCTCTAATCTGATATTCTAATCAGTCTGCACTTCTTTTCGACACACATACATACACACACACGTATTAGAATGCGCTCTGCTAACTGCGCTTGGGTTGCGCTGTAGTGTAGTAACATTATAAGAATTTATTTGTTGAATAATTTAATTTCTAGATGTACAATCTTAATGAAAGTTTCAGGGCGTAATTATATGGTGAAAATGTATGTACATTCCAAAGCACATGTCTCTAGTACTTGAAATACGCCTTTTACAAAGGTGAGGGTGAGGGGGTGGATATAGGGGTGGGGGGGTAAATTACAACAAAAATCGAAATTATATAAAATACATATAAGTCTACATTTAAAATTTGCAAGCTCTAGCTCTAAATGTGTAGGAGATATAATTAAATAACTAGCTTTCGATAAGGTTTTTGATCGATAATAAAATATCGGGAGTAGTTATCGATATATAAAGAAAAACTTGATATGCGCGTGATATACACGGACCTAGGAAAATTTCAAGTCTCTAGCTCTTATATCTTCTGAGATCGACGCGTTCATACATACGGACGGACGGACGGACGGACGGACGGACAGACAGACGGACAGGGCCAAATCGACTTAGCTCGTCGCCCTGATCAAGAATATATATATTTTGTGGGGTCTGCCACGCCTCCTTCTGCCTGTTACATACTTTTAACAAAACCATTATACCCTGATTTCCCATTTTCAATGGGTTCAGGGTATAAAAATGTGTTTATTTCAATGCCGCAACCTTACAAAATACATTCGAAAGTCTTCAAACGACTACCGTGATTTATTTGAAAATAAAAATTTTCAATTACCTCAATTGGATTGTCCTACAAGATGGGGGTCAACCTTCAACATGGTTGAAAAACTTCACAGCTCAAAAACTATATTGGATCTAATCGAAACTGTGGAAAATCAGACAGATGAAGAACATTTTGAAGCAAATGACGCTTTATGGGATTATATGGAGTCCTATATCACTATTATGGCTCCACTACAAAAGGCAATAGTTCAGTTCCAAGCAGAGCAGTTACATTACGGAAATTTTTATGCTGTTTGGCTAACTTGCAAACTAGCCACTAATCAGATTTTATCGACATACTCTTAAAATAAGGATTCAATTATTTCTATAATTGCAAACAATCTTCTTCAAAGTATGGAAGCACAGACCAAAACATTAGTGTCAAACGTGGGCTTCGACGCTTGCCTTTATTTGGACCCCAGATTCCATAATATTATAGACAATTTACAAAAAGAAAGAGCAATCGATTTTTTAAAGACATTGTGGGAAAAAATAAAAATTTTCGGTCCCAATCCTAGTATGACATATTCAACTAATTCATTGGATACGGACTCTGGACACACCAAAGACAATAATTTCAAGCTATTGGACGAGAATTATGCTTAACACGCGGGGACCTAAACAACGACGTCTCCTTCTAATGAGCGTCATTAGGTCCGTCATCCTCTATGCTGCGCCAATATGGGCAAGAGCTATGGCAACGCCGAGCTACAGCCGGGGCATTTGCGCGATCTACAGACTGAGCGCAATCAGAGTCTGCTGCGCTTTTAGGACTATCTCCGATGACGCAGCGCTCGTCATAGCTGGTATGGCAACACGCACGCGCCTGCGCGTCTCAACGCTATCAGGGCGAACAGCATTGCACGATGGCAAAGAAAGTGGAATAGCTCAGCTAAAGGGCGGTGGACGCACAAGCTCATCCCGGAGCTTGAACCATGGGTCAACCGCAAACACGGCGAGGTAAACTTCTACCTTACGCAGATCCTCTCGGGACATGGATGCTTTCGGAGCTATTTGAAGCGCTTTGGCCACGAGGAATCTGACGAGTGCCCCAGGTGCGAGCGAGGGCATGTGGAAGACGTCAACCACATTCTTTTCAGATGTGGACGGTTCCTGGAGGAGAGGCGTCGTCTGGAAGAGGCAGTGGGCCGCTCCATCAGAGCGGACAACATTGTCAACGCCATGCTGGAATCGGAGGAAGCTTGGGAGCTAACAAGCACCTTCGCGGCCACAGTGATGATGGAGCTCCGCAGAGTCGAGCGAATGAGAAGACGAGCTGTCCCAGGCTAAGGTAGCGCACAGTGCTTGCGAAGCAATGCTTTACGGCCGTCCCGCAAGCATCGTGCACTATCCTAGCCAACACACAATTTGCGATTTGTATTAAGATTGTCAATAAACGAATATAAACAAGTAAGAACGTTGCAGTCGGGCGTTACCGACTGCGGAATACTCATTCACATCCCATCAACAATTTAGTAGTTAAGTTTCGCTCTAATACTGTAGAATATACAGGTTTTTCCGATTTGCCACGCCCCAACTGGGCGTAGACACCTCATTTTTGGTCAGTTTTTAGAAAGAGATAACGGTACCCTAACTGCAAAGTTTGAATGCTTACCCTCAAAAAATGTGAAAATTACAGGGTATTTTTCGATATGCCACGCCCCTAAAGAGGCGTAAATATTATTTTTGG